TGGTTCGTTCGTTGGACGGATCTAACATGCGGAGGAGGAGATCAAGGCAAGGCTGGGCAAAGCAGGCAGGCAGGCAGGCAGACAGGCAGGCAGGCAGGCAGGCTCGCTGGCTGGCTGACGCGCAGGCTGACGCGCAGGAGAGAGAGCGTCCTGGTCTTGATCCTGATCCTGATCCTGATCTTTGAAACTGATCCTGGCCCTGATCCCGACCCTGACCAATGCGAATTCCCCGCCCTGCTTGATGGGATGGGATGGGATGGGATGGGATAGGATAGAAGGCTGGCAACCCGACCCGCGTTTTGTGTTTGATGTGCGTAACTTACAGACAGTTTGTGCGTGTGCGTGTGCTTGTGTGTGTATGTGTGTGTGTGTGTGTGTGTGTATTTGTGTGTCGGTCGCACTGAGGCGGAGGCGGAGGCGGCGGCGGAATCTGACGCAGAGGAGAAAAGGCGGAAGTCAATTGAAGAGAGAGTGATCAGATTAGATGTCCTTTGCGCTGGGACGACGAGAGCAGGTCGATGGTCGTTGGTCGTTGGTCGTTGGTCGTTGGAAGTTGGAAAAGGCGCAACGAGCACGTAGTTCGCGTCGGTCGGCTGCGTAGGGACAGTGAGGAAGAAGAAGAAAAAAAGTGGGCCGGTCTCTCTTTCCCTCTACCTACCTTACGTAGTACTTGGGCCCTCAATCTCAATCTCATTCTCAACCTCATCACCAAACCCAATTCAACCTTCAACCTTCAACCTTCAACCTCCAATTTCCAAACCTCCGCCAACCTCAAATTTTATCCCCCATTCCTCGAAAAGACGAACTCTCTCCTCCTCCTCCTAACTCTAGCGATGAGAGCACTCGGTACATCTTGGAAGACGGAAACGAGAGGCCCCTCCGGTTCCCATCCATCCACGGCGGGCACGAGTCCAGCTTCGTGCGAGGGACTGAAACGTCCAATCCTCCCTCTTACGACTTGACTCGCGTGCTTCTACATACATACATACATACACACATACATACACACATACCGCTTCCTCCGCCCGGCTTTGCTGCAGCTCTTCGCCGCTGAAGAATCTGACCTGCTCCTGCTGGGCACTAATTCGCGGGTTCAGAGTTGACCTTGACACCATACAGACGGAGCCAGACAGGCCCTCGGTACCGACGGTAGTGTCCTCGGAGCACTTCCCGCCACAGGAGTCACTCTCTTTCCTCGCCGCATGCATACATACGCGTGTCAGCCAGAAAAGTCAAGAATCTGACAGCAGATCCATCACGGTCGGTACATGCGTTGCAGCATGCATGGAACTTCAAAAGGATTGAGGGTTCCGACCCGCACTCTCTCATTTGTCAACACTTGTTGAATTTATGGCTCGCTCTCTCCTTCATGTTTCTCTGTACCGTCTAATCGCACACCCGCCATCAATCCCGATGTCTGCGTGTTGTCAAATCTAGCCACTTGCATGCAGCGGCTAGCTTCCGCGAGGGACGATGTTACATCACTACACTTTATATGCTGCTTGTTGCACCTCGGAATCCAAAAGTCAGCCGTCAGAAAGTTGGCCTGCATAATTATTACATGGCGAGTACCATTTCTTCCCATCCTTGTCTCACAGGCTTTTGTCTAGTCGAAAAGGAAGCCAAAAGGTGCTCTACCTGGATTGCCGCTTCCACAAATACCGTGATCCTATCACATAGATAATATGGTGTGGCCATAACAGGCCGCCCTCGTTTATCGCAGTTTGTCCTGATTGTGTATTGATGAATTCATCTCGAGATTCTTCCTTCAGCAAGGAGGCTCTGCGCATGTATCGGCTAATTACCGATTTGCAATTCATGGTGGCCCGAGTTCCTTCCTGTGTTCTTCGGGACTGTCTCTTGCAGGTTTTCAACCAAATCTCTGCATCGGGATACTCAGGCCGCTTCCGAATTGCGCTGATTAATACAACAACTGAAGGTCCGACGGCGGCCTGGGGGAAAAGGGAAACCATCACCTTTAACAGGATATATACTCACTGTCCAGGTTGACGGCCACACACAAGGGGAGCTCTTGTAGGCTAGACTCATCTACGCGCCGAGTTCACTATCAATGCCCGCGTTGACAGGAACATATCTAGGATTGGTAGATGCTATGGGACGTTCGCCAGCTGTTCGAATTTTCTACCGTACTTCCCTTGCTCGGGAAAGTGCCCTGGGAATTGTGCAATCTCGCAAGCCCTAGCCCATAGTTCAACCGTACCTTGAAGGCCAACAAACCCATCGCCATGCCCTGGCGGCTCAATCTCAAAGATCAGGGCCTCGATACGCTTCGGAACTTCGGCCACCTATCAGGTACACCGTTTAGGCTGTTGGCGCGGAGCTTGTCAGTCGGACTGCATCCAACGCTCTGCGTGGTATCATCTCAATGCGGGTATATCTCAACCATGATCCGACCACCGTACGACCGTCCAGCCACCCGTATCGAGGCCCGCTTGCTTCTTGAAGCTATCGGGATTTACCCGGTCTATGGACGCGGGCCTAAGTGTCTATTTCCTGAAGGCATGCTCCCTGACATCTGACAATGAGGCTACTTGGGGTCTGTCCCCCGTATCTGCAACGGCCTACCGCCCAGGGCCTTAACGACCTCCCCAGCTCCTTCAAGGCAACAAAATCTTTGTCAAATGCTCACGGTACATTTAACATTTGGATCATCATCATTCGTAAATATGCCTCAATCACGATTAGGCTGAGAGGGAAGATTGCTCAGCAGCACGGTTCAGCAAACTCAACCTCAAGAGACACGAATTGACCCGAACCCGAAGCTATGCCGTTAAACAATAACTGACAGCATGCATGCGCTCCTGGCTTCTGCAGCAGCGCCGGCAAGTCAAAGCCAGGCCAGCATTTTGTTCGACGCCCGTCCAATTTCAACTACCCAGTAATATCTTGCTTTCTCTCGACAATGTGCCATTTTTACACACTCATTCAGTGGGGAACCTGGAGCTGTAGAAACATCAGGCGCAATGCAAAGTGTTGTGCAACACCAGAGGCGATCCGATAGGTGTCTGGCATGTGAGTGAAGAGCGACCCCGGGCGAAAAACACACCCTGCGATCGTGATCATCCTGGCTACTGCTGGATGGATGCACAGATCCTCCCATATTGTCAGAAATAACTACACCAAGTATATAGACGCACGATGAGGCATCATCTAGGGGCTTTAGCAAATGACTGCGGAAGAAAGTAGCGAGTCCGTGTGTGCGTTATGCGCCACTGTTACTTTTGCACGGGGCAGAAAACTTCTTCCAGGCTATGCTATGCTATGCTATGCTAAGGAGACTGAGGGAGCACAAAATCGCTCCGAGGCATCTCGCTCCGCGGAGGTCACCTCTTCACTCATGCCGATGTTTTGAAAATTCCTCTTCGACTGGCATTGGCGAGTTTGACTTCCAGACAGGCGAGGTTGGTAGACCTTGCACCGATTCCCGAGATTTTGGCCATAGCCACTTAAATCAGTATCAGCCGATGTTCTCAGACTCTTTCATGCGCTCTCGCAGTCCATATATATATATATATATATATATATA